TTTTTCAGCCCTCTCCCTTTATTTTCATCAGTTTGTCTTCCTTTCTGTTCCCTTTGACTCTATCCTCTGTCTCCCTGCATCTCACTCCCTTCCCCCTCCCCCCTCCGGTCGGTTTGTTTATTTCCCGACCGTCTTCCCCTTTCCCTCCACTACCAGGGCTTCCCCCCGCTCAGGTACCTCTGTCTTTTCACGGTCCCAGTGGACCGCCGTTTTACCACGGCTCGGGCCGCCCGCGCATGCGCACACCGTGAGTGCGCATCGCGGCGGCCATCTTGGGATTGGCAGTTTTGCCGCGCTTTTTCTAGCGCGGCCAATACTGCTCGTTTGGGGGCGGGAGTTAGTGCTCTGTTGCTGGGCAAGTCTCCCGGTGCTCCCCAGGAGCTTATTCCTGAGGGAACACTCGGTGAGCTTGCTACAGTTCTGTTTAGTCTGTGCCTGTTTGCATTGTTCATATTTCAATTGGTGCCTTTTGTGCCTGCTAGTTGCTTTAGGGCTACTGTTTCTATGCATATAACTCCCTGCTGGGCTGCTCAATTATATAAACAGTGTTTCTGCCTGTCCTGCTGCCCCCTTTTGTTTTTTCTTTCATCCCTAAGCATGCAGGCTGATAACATGGCTGATGGAGCCACCAAACCTAGGGCCACCATACCCACATCAACCCCGGTAGGGCCCAAAATTCCCACTGTAATTGAAACAGCGCAGGAGCAAATGGACTCTGAGGAGTTTCATTCTCTCCTAGACGCGGCTATGGCGAAGTCTGTGACGCAGGCTATATTTACCGCCATGGGTGCCATGTCGGATAACTTATCCCATTCAATAGCCACTGCAATGAGATCCACGCAGTTGCCACCAAACCCTATGGCTAACCCCCCAGAAACTGAACCGGTGGCCCCTAGTGGGCGTAAAGCCGCTAAAAAATCTCGCCATTTAGACGAGTATGCCTCCGCAACTCTACAGACGGACAGGGCACGTCCTGTCACAGAACCTGTGGTTGGACCACAACCAAGAGCCCCCCGCCGGGCAAAATCGGTGAGGAAATGGAAGAGGGCTAAGGCCCTAATTGAATCCTCCGACTCTGAATCGGAGCAAGAGGAGGCACAGAGCGAGTCCGATAACCAAGTGCGGGACTATGACTCTGTCACGTGCACGGACATGGACCGCAAGGACGGAGCTGGCGACTCCGCCTTAGTTGACCCCCAGGGTGAACCATTGTTCGACCCGGACACCCTCCAACACCCGAGGTCCTCCGAGTGGTACCCTCTGGACCACGTAGCGAAATATATCGCTGCCCGCATCAGAAAGCCACTGGATAAGGTGGCGCGAAACAAGCTGCGGGCAGAATGCCCACGCCCCACGGTCCCGGATATGGCATGTGCCACCCCAGAAGTGGACCCAAAAATCGCCCAATTTTTGGGAAAATCAGGCTGGAAGGCCAAGAAGGGCCTAGATTTTGCCTGGCGGAACTGCCAGGATAAAGTGTTGGACATCCTTGGACCAATCGCGAGGATGTTTGATATGGTTGAAATCGCGTTGGCAGGGGGTGCACCGCTGTACCTGGAAGCCCTCAGAGGGTGGATCCAGCGTGCCGTGTGTATCCTGGGCAACGCTAATACGGCAGTGGCCACGGACAGACGCAAAGCGATCTTAATCAAAATTGAGCCTAAGCTGGTAAACCTAGCTATCTCAGAGCCGGGTCCCCAGGCTAAAGCCCTCCTATTCGGGGATAACTTCGTAAAAGAGCTAGGCACATATGTAGGCACCTTTACGGCACTGGATAAGGCTCAAGCCAGCATGAAGCGAGTGTTCCATCAGAAGGTTTTTGGCGGGGCCGGCAGATATCGGGGCCGTCTGCCCGGCCGCTCGCCCCGGGGCTCATACCGGGGCTCTCGTGGCTCCGCACAATCCAGATTCACACCCCCGGAACCCAAACAAGCCTCACCGTTCTTTCCAGTCCGAGGCAGACCATGGCAGACCCGAGGACCCAGAGGCTCTTCATATGGCCGACGTCCTTATGGTAAGTGCACTACCTCCTCATATGTCTGCATTAACTATGGTGGGGGGCAGACTGGGCCATTTTGTCAAAGCATGGCACATGATCACGGCGGATGCCTGGGTGCTCCACACTGTACGGGGTTACTCTATAGAGTTTGTGCAATACCCTGTCCAACTGAAACCCCCCAGCCGAATGGTGGTCCCCATGCGGGACCGAGAGTTGATAACCCAAGAGGTCCAGGCCTTAGCCTCCAAGGGGGCGATTTATACAATTTCCCCTGTCACACCAGGTTTCCTGAGCAACCTATTCTTAGTACCCAAAAAAGGCGGAGGTGTTCGCCCAGTCATCAACTTGAGGCCTTTAAACATGTTTGTCGCATACCACCACTTCAAGATGGAAGGTATACACTCTCTCCGGGACCTCCTCCTCACGGGGGACTGGATGGTCAAACTCGACTTGAAGGACACATACCTCACGGTCCCAATGGCCGACGACTGCCAACGCTTCCTGCAATTCCGCTGGGAAGAGACCATGTGGCGTTTCAAGTGCCTACCGTTCGGTCTCTCATCGGCCCCCTGGTGCTTCACAAAGCTCATGAAACCAGTGGTCGCCCTCCTACGCAGCAGAGGAGTACGGCTCATAATATACCTGGACGATATCCTCATCATGGCTCAAGACCCGCTTCTGTTGCACGAACATTTCTCTTGGACGAGGAATTTGTTAGAAAACCTGGGTTTTCTGATCAACTGGGAGAAGTCGGTCATCGAACCCTCGCAGGCAATAGAATTCCTGGGATTCACCATAGACACAGTGACCGGAATGCTCCTACTCCCAACAACCAAGGTCAAGGCCATCAAAAAGGAGCTCAAGCGGACGCTAACACGGCCTGTCCTTACCTTGAGACAGCTGGCCAGGATTGTGGGCCTCCTCTCGGCGTCCATTCAGGCCATCTTTCCCGGACCCCTACACTACAGGGCACTTAAACGATTAAAGGCAAAATACCTTCGTTTGGGGCACTCATACTCAGATTCTGTTCCTCTCGACTGTGCCGCCAAAGACGAAATCAAATGGTGGCTACAACACATGGAAGCGTGAAATGGCAGCGCGATCTTTGGAACAGCTCCGGACCTCATAGTGGAATCCGATGCAAGCTTGCTCGGTTGGGGTGCGCGCTGCGGACCTTTCTCCACCGGAGGAAGATGGTCTCGGGAGGAACAGGGACTTCATATCAATTGCCTCGAACTGTTGGCAGGTTCGTTCGCTTTACGGAGTCTTTTGAACGTGTCGACCAACTGTTCCATCCTGTTACGCATGGACAACGTTTCAGCGGTCCGTTATATCAACCACCTCGGGGGCACGAGGTCCGCAATACTTGCGGAATTAGCAAAGGATTTCTGGCAGTTCTGCCTGGATCGAAACATATCGGTGCAAGCGGAACACATCCCGGGGATGAGCAATGTAGTAGCAGACTGGAACTCCAGACATCTACGAGATGCCAGCGACTGGCGACTGAACCCGGCCACCTTCAGCCAATTGCAATCACTGTGGGGACCACTGGACATCGACCTGTTCGCGTCACGACTAAACACGCAATTACCGAGGTTTTTCAGTTGGAGGCCAGATCCAGAGGCTCTAGCGACGGACGCTTTCCGACAACAGTGGCCGAATGCCAGACATTACGCTTTTCCCCCCTTTTCCCTCATCGCACGGACCTTGCTGCACCTCAGACGACACCGCACGTCTCTAATCCTCGTGTCTCCGTTTTGGACGTCTCAACCCTGGTTCCCTACACTCCTGGAACTGTCAATAGATCTGCCGAGGTTACTACCAGTACACGACAACATTCTCCTGGATCCCTATGGCAATCCACATCCTCTCATACTGCAGGGACACCTCAAGCTTTTGGCATGGCTCCTCTCAGGGGACTCGGTGACATCCCAAATGTTCCACAAACAACTCTGGACCTCCTGGCAGGAGCTTGGGCCCCAGGTACAAGGAAATCGTATTTACATGCCTGGAACACATGGCATGGTTGGTGCGTGGAACAACATGTGGATCCCATATCTGCAACTGTGAGTCAAGTCTTGGGTTTCCTCACTTCACTTTTCGACCACGGCCTGGCGTATCGTACAATTAATCTATATAGGTCAGCTATCTCAGCAGGCCACGTAGGTTGGAATGGAATTCAAACTGGAAAACATCCGATGATATGCCGGCTCTTACGGGGCATAAAATTTGCACGACCACCACGGCCTAGGTATTCTGAGGTATGGGATGTGAACCTTGTTCTCCGACTTTTTGAAAGTTGGCCAAGGAACGAAGATTTGTCGATCAAGCAACTCACCGCAAAATTGGTTACGTTGTTCTGTCTCATCTCATGTAAACGGGTTTCAGACGTACGAGCATTGGACATTCAGGCACGCTCATATACACCAGAAGGGGTGGCCTTTGATATATCGAGACGTACAAAAACATCCATCACAAAGGTTTTTTACCCCGCATTTCCACATAACAGTAAATTATGCCCAGTAGCCTGCCTCAAGGAGTATGAAGCAAGGACGGTGGCGGTCCGAGATCCGCAATGTGCGGACCTCTTCCTGGCTATTCGACAACCGCATCGTCCGGTTTCTACAGTCACCATATCTCGTTGGGTAAAATGGATCATGACGTCGGCAGGCATTGATATTTCCACATACGGAGCACATTCAGTGAGGGGTGCGATGGCATCCAAAGCCTTTTCATTAGGCTGTAAATTGGAAGATCTCCTCCGAGCAGCCGATTGGTCGAGAGAATCTACTTTCCGGGAATTTTATTTCCCTCCGGTTTCCCATTTTTCCACGTCAGTGATCACACAGCTTTGAACTAGCATAATAAGAGCCTCCGTGTCCTTTAATAAAATTACCAGATTTTACTAATTTCATGACGTAAAGTCATGATTTTATAAAGGACACGGAGGCGAGTATTATCCCACCCAATAAAGGTAAGTTGCCCTCCTCTGGGAATGTAATGTATGTTATGGGAATTGAACTGTGTGATAATGTGTTATTTTAGTTTATTTTTTCGTTTGAGTGAATAACATGAGAATGATTTAGTGTTCTAGATAGATTTGGAATATGAACATGGAAAATATTATCCAAGAACACATTTTACCATCTCGTTTCTCTGTCTTACAGCTTCCTAATTGGAGTGCCATAATGGTCCAGGCATACCCGCAGGTGGGCGGATGGAGGATGACCAGTTTTTTTCTTCAAGTTTTGTTGTTTTTTTTGTCCGACGTCATCTTCTACGGGATTCCCTGTTTTTCTCTACACGACTACTGGTTCTTTTCATGGCGGAATATTGGAGTGTCCATCAACAACACCAAAAGAAAGAGGAGTGGCTTAGGGTCACATGGGACTTTATTGTAATAGGGACACTCTGATTGGTTCATATGTGGTATATGGTTAACCCTTGCAAAGTTATGATGTAATGTTATTGAAGTGTTTTCTTTTTGCATTGAATATATATACACAATATTTTCTTTTGCTGCTGAGGAATAAAAGGAAAGAGTAAAGCATAATACTCGCCTCCGTGTCCTTTATAAAATCATGACTTTACGTCATGAAATTAGTAAAATCTGGTAATTATATGACAGGAAAATAAACAAAACTTTTTGAGAAACGTTGTCATCTCTAATCAATTACCATTCTTAATGGATTACTAAGCTAAATGAACATTTTGTTGTCTTTATTAAAGAGTGTGATATGGTGGTCACTCACTATTACTTAAATCTCTGGGATCAGTACACTGCAATATGCTCTAATGTGCTTGAAAACCACCTAAATATAGAAAATTCTTTATGACCTTGATTCCGGATCCTAAATGAGCAAAGATCTAGAACAGAATTCTTCAATTAAACGCATATTGAGACCTTAACAAATAATCTTAGAATGTAGAAAAATATTCCTAGTAAAAAAGCATATTCTCTGTATTTGTTTGACTATATTGATACTTTCATTTGACAGTGTTGATACCTGTTATGTGTGTTCCTGTACAATAAAATGTTTTGTATTTTAGCTGGATGTGCTCCTCTTTTCAGTATCATGTTATTGTATCAGTAGCTTTTTGGAAATAGGGCTTTATGAGTAAGCACCCTTATCTGTATTAATTGCCTTAATCTATTGCATTTGGTTGACAATTGGGTATGCCCACCATTCTTTTATTAATAG